TACATAGCTTGTACTCATTACAGCCTGTACATACTTATAGTTATAGAATATTCACAACAAACTTCATACCGTGTACATTATAACATACCATAATAGACCCATTTCTGTAATATACTTACATATCTATACTATTGCTAATATATATTGTAATATATCTATATCACTAAAGCACTTCTGGATGGATGCAAACTGCATTTCGTTGCCCTGTACCTGTGCATGTGCAATGACAATAAAGTTGAATTCTATTCTATTCTATTCTTAAAAACTCAGGACCAGGACCAAGCTCTAGTAAATCCTCCTGTGGTTTTGCCATGATGCTGACAGAGAGGGAGAGAAATGTTAGACATCCCTGTGTAGGCTTGGACAGGTGCATTTATCAGAGGATGAGATGGGTTTTTTTTTTGTTTCATTTGAAATTTATATCAGTATACAGTATTGCTATCACATTATACATGCGGAGATAAAATACTTGTTTTAGCTCAATAAGTTTGTATGAGAATGAGGGAAGTCAAGGTTTAAGTCTAAAGTTGAATCTGTTTCGTACATGTGAGTGGTGTGTGCCTGAGCTAACAGTGTGAATATTTATATTTTTTCTTTTTAGAATATATTGACACTTGAATGTTTGTTTTTATACAATTAAGTTTTTAGGGGTACCTTTTTATTATAGAAAATTATAACTGTAAAATGTATTGAAATCTTTCACCACAAGGTGGCAGGATTTTATCAGAAAGTTTTGCTTAATTGTCCAGCATTGCCATTATTAAACGCAACTTTGAAAGGATGTTGTATTGCTCTTGAAATATAACTTTTAATCTGATGTTTTTTTATGTTAATTAAAAACAAACTACATAACATATGCTCTTTTATCTACCAAATTAAACAGGCTGAGTATGACTGCTTTATAGGCTGTTGATATGCATCTGCTCTTGTAGAGGCAGCCCGGATGGCAGCAGTCCCCCCGAGTGGCTGGTGGTGGAATTACAGGGGGAGATGGTGTCTAGACACAACTCTGGTCTGGCAGGAAATGTGATGGGAGATCTACTGTATACCAAAGAGGTACACAACATGCTGAAAAACACAGTATACCCCCCAAAAAGATCATTTATGTATTTACTAAAATCCAGCATCATTTCCCTCAAAAATAATAGCAGTGTTTATAAATCAATTAAAATTAAGTTTATACGAGAATAGCACAATCTCACACAGAAGAAAGTACTTTAGGTAGTAATAAAGCAAGTTTATTTATGAAATGGGACAGTATTGGTACAAAATACAGACTGACATGAAAAGCTCTGTTTTCTGAATTTTTTTCATTTTCAGTTTTGTTTTGAATTGTCATTGTGTCACCCAAATGCAAGTTTTGGATAATACAAAGATTAATTAAAGAAATGCAAATAGTTTACAGCCTTCCAAACTTAGCTAACAATGTCAACAGAATGTGAAGAAACAGCTGCTATGTTATGTCGAAAACATCTGCGTACTTTGATTAATTTAATTCAGTTTCAAAATGCAGTCACATCAGTGCAAAAATGGCTGGTGAGAGAAAATGAGATGCTTAGGAATTTTCCATTCCCAGCATAAACACCATGGTCATACCAGCCACACAGACTCGTGAATCAGCATACTTGATGATAATATCAACATGTACAACTGAAGTAACAACAATGTTCGCTTCCACTTGTCTCAGTTGGGCTGTGCCTGTGGCTGCACAAGACTGCCATCAACTTGGCACTTAAGCATCTGTTTGATACCCCTTTTTAGGGCTAAGACAGCAGACTTCCAAAAATGAACCCATGAGTCCTATTGTGTCAATAAATGACCAAGTCATCAGATCAAAGAAAAAGTGGTACTTAAGTTGTTCTTGTAAATGGTGTTGGGGGAAAGCTGAGAATCCACTGCCACTGAATTATTATTTTGTTTCCCATCCACCAGGGGGTGCCAGTGCTGATTGTAGGACATCACATTATCTACGGGAAGCAGGTCAAACTGGAGAAACCCTTTGCTGTTCTCACCAAGCACTCGGGCCATTCACAGGGCAGTCACAGCAGTAACAACAATGAAATAACACAGGAAGCAATGGAAACAGACCAACAAGGCTCTGCTTCCACATCTTATTCTGTGTCCGCACTCATTAAAACAAAACTGATTTTTAAGATCCGCCCCAAACCTATCATCACTAATGTACCCAAGAAGGTGTAGCAGGACTACATTTCATTGCGGGGACAGAGTCCCTGTCTGACTTGTCTTATTCTAAGAAGTATTTATACTGTGATGGTTTCTGATCTGAATGTTGTTGGAGGCAGCTTTTGGAAAGCAAAATAAGACATCAATGGGTTTGTCACTACCTGACTTTCTGTCCAAATTTAAAGAAAAACTGCAAATGAAAATTGTCATTTCCTTTTAGTCATAGGAAAGACTGTATATGCTGGGCGGACTGATGGACAGTTGAAGCGTGTCTGAAGGCAAAAATTACATTTGTCATATATAATAACTGATGCACTCAACCTCAACCTTCGTGCCTCGCAGCAAGAAGGTTTTCTCTTCCTCCCACAGGATGAAGGCCTGCAGTTAGTGGGTCTTATCCTGTCTGTATTTCCTTTCCTGGGTGTCCCGCGCCTGTGGTAGCTGGGATAGGCTCTAAACCTATGACCCTGATAAGGATAAGTGAAAGATGTTAGTAACAGCAGTTTTTGTGTGCAGTCATGAATATATATTATAAAGAAATACTGGTGCAGACAAAGTTTTTTAGGGGCTTTGAACCAGAAATTAGACATACTTTCACTTACACTTTCTGTTTTACTTTTATTTTTGGTAAAATAGATTTAATTAAAATGGATTCATCGAGATAAAAATCAGATGATGCTAATTGTTTTGTAGTTTTAGTTCACCTTAACACTCTGGAGGGAAAGGGCACTGCAAATCAATACACATTTATTCGGAGTAACACATTTTGATCATTCCAGAGATTTGGGAACTCTGCCAGTGCACACTGAATTTGTTCTAGCATCACATAGTAGCCCAGAGTCTGAGAGCATTTTGAATTGGACTTTAAGCACTCACACACTCTCTCACAGATGCAGTGGATTTGGGTTCAGTATCTTCCCCAAAGATACATGCACACTGTGAGTCACTGAGCTATCTTCTCATCCCTTCTGTGTTTCTTTACTGTCTTTGGATTGATGCAGCAGTTGTATTATAATAAACTGAAGTGTAGATGATGAAATTGAATGATGTTAAAACTGAATAAATGTGATGTTTGAAACAAATACAGTTAAAAATAAAGGTTTATGGGCAGTTTAAGAATATGTACATGAATAAATTCAATATGTAATACTGTAATTGTCTAATGTGTTTTTGTTTTATCTGAATATTCCGTTCAATTTGATTTATATAGCATCACAACAACAGTTGCCTCAAGGTGCTTTACATTATAAGGTAAAGGCCCTACAATAATAGAGAGAGATCCCATCAAACAACCCTCTTGGAGCAAGCATTTGGTGACAGTGTGAAGGAAAAACTCCCTTTTAACAGGAAGAAAGCTCTGGCAGAACAGATTTTAAGGAGGGTTCGCCATCTCCCACAGTCAGTTGGAGGTGATGGGAGAAAGACAGGATAAAAGACACTGTGGAAGACATGCATAGCTTGAAATGAATCGCAGGTTATGATGGAGGAGGCCTTCAGACAGGTGGGAACGCTGGCATGAGTCAGGGAGAGGTTGAACAGCCTGATGAGGATCCTTGCCAGCTGGCAAGGCTTTGACCACAGCCCTGGGGTGACAGGGCTAATATAAGAGAGGCTATAGTGGCATTGCTTTGGATTGTAGGCAGACTAGAGGTAAGTCAGCAGGGGGCTGAGCATTAACTACAGTGTTGAATCTGTTAAAGACTGGCTCTGTCCTCACCACCCTCAGCTCTTCTGCTGTTGGATGGCAGGAATCCAGTGATTGTCTTCTTGCCACTCCACATCTCTCATGTTGTTCTGCTGGAGTATCCACTCCAGCTTTCTCTTGTAATTAGTAAATTGTATTTCCACTGTATATATCAGAAATTTTTAAAGCTTTTATTTTACAAGAAGTGCAGAGAGCAGTGGGAAAAGCAGGGCTGCAACTTTGAAATCATTTGCGTGGAATCCAAGACTGTCCTTCACGTGACTCCTTCAGAAAGCTTCACGAGGAGGAACAGGACATAGACGTTATTTCACTTTGGGAAATTCACATTATAGCAGCAAGGAAAAGAGAATTAAAGATATAGCAGAAAAAATAAATGAATAAGAAAAAATTCTGTACAAAAAAGCAAAAAATAAAACCTATAAAATGTATAATATTTACAAATATTTATAAAGAGTCAATGCACTCAAATTGAGAATTTTTTGTTTCATATGCATATAAAGTGCAGTAGGATTGATGCTATAAAGAACTGTATAATGTTTTGATCCAGCCTAGGAAGGATGAACTTAATTAAAATTTGTGTAGAATCGCTTATCAGAATTTCCACTTTATGTAATTTGTCCGGTTACATTTTCACTATTTTTGCTTTATCTAGCTGGCAAGGGATTTTGCAGATTTAATGCCATGTTTAGAGTTCTCCAAACACAGTCTTGGCACCAGAAATGATGTCTTCCTATCAATTCTTTAATTCAATTCCAGTTTTAGTTTTCTCAGGTGGGAAGGCTGTAGTAGAGAAGGTCATGTACTAATGGGGAGGTGGCTCTGTCCCTGGCTGCTCCAAGCTATCGTTGGGCAACATGCTGTGTTCACTTAGTCTGTCTGTCTTGTATGTCTCTGTATATCTTTGTTTAATGTGTTTTTTTGCTTTTTCTGTGCCTGTACTGTATGTTAATGAACCAAATAGCAGCGTGAAAGGCAAAAATATTGCTGATTGCAGAAAAAGATAAGAAAAGACACAAAAAAGACTGAAGAGTGACGACACTAAAGAACGATTCCAAAGTGACTTAACAACAATAGAATTAATTATTAAAAATGAATTTTATGTTTTCAAGTGAACAAAAAATACAGTAAAAAAACAGTCACAAAATGATTTTAAACAGGGGGGAAATCCATGTAGTCCTTTAAATGAGACATTTTCTGTATCATATGAATAGGATTTTTGTGTCCTAAATAGAAAGCAGTTTAATGACTTTCAGCATCCTGTTGATGCCCAGAGATGGAAACAGCAGAAGATCAAGAAACAAGAGCTACAAAATGTCAGAGTTGTAATGTTCCTTTAAATGTATGTGACCTTTTCACCTTTCAAGTTGAAGCTTTTACATCTCAAAATAAAGCAATGTGAATATAACTTAAATATTTTAAAGTGTCCATTATGCAGATGTTTCTCACACGAAACATACAGATACAGGTTTTTGGAACATATCCTAGAAAAAAACTTTGGTGTTTAGTCTTTTTGTTGGTGTGAACAGACAAAATCAAAATCTAGTGTAAAATGTGTAAATGACCCACATCAACATAACTGTATCCAGCAGAAAAACACACAGATATAATATGGCAACTTTTCATGATATAAAAAAGACTTCTGAATTAAACTACAACACACCGAGAACTGTAAAATAACGATTCTAACAATGACACTGCTCAGCCACAACAAAATGCAGCCCTACCTTCAGAGATGTTTGGATTCTCTTGTCTGGTAAATCATAGTGGATGATAATGCTGTTCGTGATTCATGAGAAACACGCAAAGTCTAGAAAACTTCCACACCTATCCTGTATACTTCCAAATGCAATCAGTGTCTCAGTAGGAATAGATTTCAGGTCTGGTTTTGATACAGTACACACTTTAGCATGTATGCAGAAGGGAGGTTCATAGTACTGTCTGAAATCACTATATAACTTCCAAACATCATTAAACTTTAATACAGTTGTGTCAACATACTGTTGTCTGATAAGATGGTCACTGTTTTTAGATTTTGACAAGAAGACTTTGATACCCCAGTAGAACAAATGACAATTGCACCTCGACCACATACTTTGAATCATTAAAGGTATTAATATGGATTTTTTTTCTCCTCATAGTTGCTGCAAAATCAGTTGTTTCAAAAATTTATCACAACAATGTTTAAGACAGTTGTTTATATTGGCATGCCTACGCATTACTAGAACAACGCCCATTTTAGGGTTATCCCCAGGAATTTCAGAATTGTAGTGCCATGCTGTAGTGGCAGTTTGCGGCAGTGTGAAATCTGTAGGCCTATTGCTTTAGTCAATTTGCCAGCTTGCTAACTAGCACAAAAGATATTAATGTCTTGAATGCCCCCTTCCGGATTTCCTATGTTTTTGTCTGTTTGTCACACTCAAATGTTTCAGATAATTAAACAAATCTAAATATTAGACAAAGATAACACACGTAAACACAAAATGTAGTTTCTAAATGATGGCATTTATTATTAAGGGGGGGGGGGAATCCAAAAATAATCCAAACATAAATCGACCTGTGTGAAAAAGGGATTGGACCCCCCTGTTATAACATAAATTAACCGTGGCATATCACATCTTTGGATGTGATATCCATGTTCAATTTCTGTGGCCACATCCAGCCCTGATTGCTGCCACATCTGTTCTCAATTAAGAAATCACTTAAATAGGACCTGCCTGACAAAGTGGAGTAGACCAAAAGATCCTCAAAATCAGAGTTGATGCCACGGTCCAAGGAAATTCGGGAGCAAATCAGACACATCTCTCAGTCTCGAAAAGGTTATAAAGCATTTCTAAAGCTGTGGGACTCCAGCCAACAATAAGAGCCATTATCCACAAATGGCGAAAGGACGGAACAGTTTTGAACCTTCCAAGGAGTGACTGGCCGACCTAAATTACCCTAAGAGCACATTGATGACTCATCCAGGAGGTCACAAAAGACCCCAGAACAACACCTAAAGAACTGCAGGCCTCACTTGCCTCAGTTAAGGTCAGTGTCACAACACCACCATGAGAAAGACGGAAAAAAATGGCCTGCATGGCAGAGTTTTAATATGAAAAGCACCGCGGAGCAAAAGGAACATCAAGTCTCAATTTTACCAGAAAACATCTTGATGATCCTCAAGATTTTTGGGAAAATACTCTGTGGACTGATGAGACAAAAGTTAAACTTTTTGGAAGGTGTGTGTCCCGTTACATCTGACATAAAAGTAACACAGCATTTCAGAAAAGGAACATCATACCAAGAGTGAAATTTGGTGGTGGTAGTGTGATGGTCTGGGGCTGTTTTGCTGCCTCAGGACCTGAAGACTTGCTGTGGTAAACAGAGAATTCTGCTGTCTATCAAAACATCCTGAAGGAGAATGTCCGGCCACCTGTTCATGACCTCAAAGTAAAGCGCACTTGGGTTCTGCAGCAGGACGATGACCCAAAACGCACCAGCCAGTCCACTTATGAATGGCTGAATTTAAGAAACTACATTTTGTGTTTACTTGTGTTATGTTTGTCTAATATTTAAATTTGTTTGATAATCCTAAATATTTAAGTGTGACAAACATGCAAAAAAACAGGAAATCTGGAACGGGAAAATACTTTTTCATATCACTGTATGTATGCATCTTAACTAAATACATTTAGGGTCTTCACATGGGGGGATATGCTAGCTGGCCTAATAACAGTATAACATTTTTAATAATGTAACAGCTTTCCATGACTGTTTGAAGCTATATTAGTAATGTTTCTTGCAATTCCTCATTTGTCTAAATCTCTTCTTGCTGTTACTCAAGTTCAAAGCAAATATTAATTTGAGAATAATTTTTCCCTGCACTGATAAACTAAATCTTGTGGTTCACCCACCTGCCAAATCTCAAGAGCCCTACAGGTACCGGTCAAAGCTAAGAGTGAACCGTACTTTTTTAATCTACTCTTGGCTACATACAGTAACTGAAAGAGAGTTAAACAAATCAGTGTGAAAAAGCATCTTTAGTGGAATGCTATGTGGCAATGCTAATCAACGAGGTAAACACAGCAGATCTTTTTCAAGCACAACACGTTATGGTGGTGTTTGGTGATGAATTTAGCAATATGTATCATCTTAGGATCAACATGTTTCAAATTATTACAAAAGGTGGCAGCTGGTGCACAATCATGGTAAAACCTTACAAACATTATTTTTGTGACCTTTACAATTTACTGTTTGTAATCTGAGACAATGATCTAAATGGCTTGGAAAGAAAGTGACTGGACTTCTTAATTACTTGAAGACGTTTCACATCTTATCTGAGAAGCTTCTTCAGTTCTAAAACTAACTTGATCTCGTGCCTCACAACACGCCGCAAGGTGCGAAAAAAGGTCACTATCAGCAGAGGCTTCGGTTGAAACCATTGTGAGGCCTTGCCTTTCCCTATTATCTGACCCACTGAGATCACCTGATGCAAGAGCTAAGTGGAGGGTGAGGCGCCTGGGAAGGGAACGCAGAACTGCATAGTAAGTGGCAGACAGTTGGTGTCGTAAGCCATCCCCTCTTTACAAAGATAGTCATTTATCTATGCCCACTGTGAATGACCAGTGGACCTGAAGAAGCTTCTCAGATCAGAGGTTAAAAGTCTTAAAGAAACTTAAAGAAGTCCAGATGATTTCTTTCCAAGCTCCTCACCTGGATCACCTGGATGACTGAGAACCTACACAGACAATTTGAGACAATGTTACTTTACTGAAATTCACACACTACACTAGTAGATATACATAGTATAATGTATATACTATTAAAGTATAAATAGTAAAAATGGAAGTAGCGAAATTAAGACACAGAATATTTATGTAATTTTTTTTCATGCACCAACTGTACAGATCTTAGGATGTTACAGAGTATGGATGTATTTTTATGTATAACTCACACACTAGTGTATTTTCTGTTTATTTCTTAAAGACTCTCTTCCTACTTCCTACCTCTCTATATTTTTAAATTCATGCTGACTGGCCAGGACAAATTCATCTCTTCCTCTCTTCCATGTTAAACACATCTTCAGTTGAATTTGTTGGCAGTTTCATATTTTTTAAAATTTGCTTTGTCTCTGTCTGGACTCTACACCTACTGAGCCTCCCTAATCTTTTCCAAAGCAGGTGCTCTGACTAATCTAAGTAAACATCTTAAATATAAAAGTTTCACATGTATTTTTAAAAAAAAATGTAAAACACTGTATGACACTTTTCATTACAAAAAGCAACCTGTACCCATCAATTACCTGATGTTTTTCGTAGCAAGTATATGGATATTTTAAAACATTATGACCTATTCTGCTTGGTTAAGGTTTTCACTGTGAAGCACCATAAAAATGGGATAAATGGAAGAACTGTATGGATCTATAAGTCCCCACAACTAGAGTCATGCTTCTCAAATTTAAGAATCACAGTGTTGTAGCACCAGCAATGAAGACGTGTGTTCCTTGTTCAATGTTTTTGTTCCAGCAAGGTGAGTAGAGACCTTGCTTGAATCAAACTGCAGTGAAACTCAGACGAGCAATATTTCCAGTTTAGGCCTCTTCATATGGCAGATGATACTGTTCTTCCCTCTTATTACACCGTTTGGCTACAATTGCCAAATACAGTACCACAAGAATAAGCCAGTAGCAGGCGTAGAGTATCGTCCCTGCTATCAATAAGGCTTTCTCAGTCTCACTGAATGGCTCCTGTGTTTCACAGTAAACTGTATATGCCACACCTCCAAGCAGCACCATAGCCCAAACTGTAACTGGCACCGCTCCAATGAAGTTGACCACAATCTTCCTGCGGCCTGATGTGCCCCATCCAGCCTTGTTTATGGTAAGCAAGGCAAATATTTTGGCAGGAAGAAGGCTGGACATGTAGAGCAGTGAGTAAAGTGACATGAAGATCATGACCAGACTGCCACGCAAAAAACAGGCGTAGGTCGCCTTCACCATCCCGACCAACTGGACTGTCAATAAGAAGAGCAGGATATTCCACAGCCGTCCACGATAGAAGAGATGGATGACTGTAGCAACCAAGAAGAACGGGAAGAAGCCAGTGACCATGGATTCATAAGTCATCCAGAGGCTGTGTTTATGGAACCACAAGGCATTGTAGAGCCATTCACGAAAGTAAGACTTGCTCCATCGAGTCTGCTGGTTGAGCCAACGCAGATACTGGGTTGGCGTCTCAGTCTGACACTGTGATCGAGCTGTGAATTTTGTCTTGTACCCAAAGCTAAGCACCCGATTGGTGAGGTGGCGGTCATCTCCAAAGCTGCACTTGGAGCCTAAAAAGGTCTGATGGTACCATGGCTCCAAGAAGTGCTGTAGCAAGGAGTTCCTGTACATCCCGAGAGGGCCACTGATACACTGGACACAGCCAAAGTAGGACTGGCACGCACGCTCAATGTTGAAGGCCATCCAGTAGCGCACACTGCTTAAGAAGGAGATCCATGAGTCGTACTTGTTGAGTATCTGGAAGATAGGAAAGTGCATAAGAATATATTAAGATTGAAAGAAAGGAAAATCACAGTCAGGTTTCATTGTATCTTAACAGTTACTGAAAGCTAAGATTTTTCCATCAACTTTTCCTTTTTTTTTCAGGTTTAGGGAATATTGTCTTGAAACTCTCCAAGGAGCCTTCACCTTTTTTTGTCCCAGATATAAATAGAATAAAATAGACACATTTTCAGGACCTAGATGACATTTCAAATGTAGTTTTATGCATTTTTGCATTGTAGTTTTTTTCTGTGAGGATTTTACATTTGAGTATTTCAAATGTGCAAAAATATGCCTGGTTAGCCCACTTTTCTGAGTTAGATACAGCTCATTTCTGTATCTAACTCATTAAGTTTCTAATTAATCTATCTACCTCATTAAACTCCTTTACATTAATTAATGTAAAACTTTATGTTATTCAAGGTTGTGGCTGTAGCTGGGCTGGTTATGCTCCCTGCTCTGTTTCTCATGTCTCTCTTTGGCTGTCAGCAATATATGAGGTTAACCCGCTATAGGTAGGCTACATGTCTGTTCACTTGATTCTGTCAGCTTAAATAATTAGCGTTATGACAGCTGATAATTCACCTAAATGTAGCTCACTGAACTGTCTACTTGTAAAATTGCCTGATTTGAGCAGCAGCTAGTGTGGGACTTTTGTTCAGAGTTGTCCTATGGACTTGGGCTGCCATAGGAGGTGCAGACCTGCCATTGCCTTTACGGAGAGATTGTTGAGCAATGGATTGTGGGTGGAACTGGCATTACAGTGTCCTTATTTGAGGCCTGACTGAGCACTTGGTTTTTGGGCTGAGTGTCCATAGCTGTCAAGTTTAGCTTTGTGAATACTAATTATCTTGTTCAATCCTCTTCGTTGCTGGAATTGGCTACAGAAAGATGAGCTAGTAACAGTCTGGATTCCCCTTTGGCATTTCCTTTATTGTACAGCACTTTGGATGTGAAGCTGATGTTACGTGCTTTTCTTTTTATCTCCTTTCGTTATGTCCCCCAGCTCTGGTAAGTCTATTCCAGCCTCTCTTGCTTTTTATTTATTGATTGATTGACTGATTTTTGAGCACACCATGAGACCAATTTGCATTTCAAGTAGAGCCTTCAAGCTTCACAATATAGCCATGGTCTTCTGACAACAAGGGAAAGCATCGTCTCATGATGCAAATGTTGTTATAACTTCAGTCTGGATACGACCACTTGCTAGGCTAGCTATAATTTCAGTTTTTCGTTGAAGTGCCCAGAACGGTTCTTTGTGAATGACGGCCACTGTTGTGTTAATAGCCATGCCAAGGACAAAGAAAATGGATTGTCTGTCTTTGAATGATTTAACAAGGCCTTGTCTTGCAGTGAAAGCCATCCGGCAGTTAGTTGTAGGGCTGCTTGCCAAATCACAATATCTCCTATTTTTACATGTGTTCAATGTAAAGGGATAACTGTATGACTGAGAAGGATTTAGAGCTGTCTATGGCATTTCCAATTGTTGTGATATTTTAAAGTACACTAGAAGGCAAAGTGACAATCGGTGACAAAGGGAAGCCCTGTCAAACAACACCCACCGCTATGGAGCCGCTACTCCTCCACATTGAAAGGAGCCAGTTGAGGTGGTTTGGGCATAAGCGAGCATATTAGCAATCTGAAGTTTGCCCTGTACTTTGATGCAAAAATGAACTGCATACTCACAGACGCAGCGTAATAAAGAAGATAAAAGCCATTTTGATGCATAAAGGGTTCAGTATTCTGTGACTCTGATATTTAGATATTGAGTTTAATCAATAACAAGAGAGGAAATTCAAGTTGACGTTCGCATTTCACTTTTCCTCTGCAGTGCTGTTTTACCTGCACGTCTCCACCAACCCCTCCCACCATTGGATCTTCCTCAAGGATCTTGAGCATTTCTATGGTACATGCTGGGTCTAAAACTGTGTCTGAATCACACACCTGGGGAAATAAAAGACGACATAAAAAACAAAAGGTGAGGCCTAGTGGGGGTTAAACACGGGCTCAGACAATTGCAACCAGCAGTCTAAGACCCCAGGTGTTGCCAAACACAGGCTGGTATTGATTGTAAAATCCGAGAGAAAAATGAGAGGCTGCTGACAAACATCCCAGCTGGTTCTTTGTAATTTCAATGCACCTGGGTCAGCTGTGGACTTGACCTTTACCCTCAGCAAGGACAAAGGCGTGCAACAGTTGGCCATGAAGAAGGAACTCAATATCCAGCATTAACCCACAGGTCTGGATGCAGACCCGGAAAGTCTTTCCATAAGCAGTTAAATAACAACAACAACAGTTTCAACAGTCTTGCTTGACTATTACTTGTGTAAAGTAGTTAGGATTTCATGCTTGTTTTACATTACATTGCAAGTCCTTCACGGATGGTGAAGGTTTTCATTCTTCTAATAAACAGATGGTTTATTTTTACTATGAAAAAAATCACAAGTAATGTTACTGTCATGTTAAATACAAAAGAGGTCATTTTTGGGTGTGCAGGATTTTATACTGCTGACAACGCATTTCACAGTGTTGATGTAAGAAACGTCATGTGTTATAATTGGTGCCCCCACCCCTATAAAAAGGGGGGGGGGGGGGAATCTGGCTGTGGGTAAACAGGAAAGAAGGGGGCTATAAAACATAGTTTGTAACCTGGTCTGGTCCTATTTTTAAAATAACGTAGTTTTATTTGACAGAAGGATCAATTTAAGTCAGGGTTTGTGAAGTTTTTAAAAAAGCACTGGACCGAATCTGCCGTCGGGCTCTGAGCAAAAGCCTACTGTGCAATTAGGAGGTGGCCAACCTGCTGAAATCACAGAGGACCCAGAGAAAAAGAGAGTTCTATTCCAAGGATCTGGTATGGAAACTCATGTTCCACTAACACAAGGCCTATTAAGGTAGATGAAAACTCTCTTAGGAAGATGCAAGAGTCCGATTATTAAGATATGTGATTGACATCTTGTTCCTCTGAGCGACCACCTTTTCCTGTATGAAACCAGGCTGAAATTCTGACTGTGGTATCCTTGGGCTCTGGACTGCAGGTCAGAATTACACTGTCAGCACTAGTAGGCTGACAGAAAGAAATCTTGTGTACTCTATTTCACTGTGAGTGTGGTTTTTCTAATGGCCACATAGAACTTATGTACTTCTTGCTCTAAGGCAGTATTTTGCCCAGTTTTTAACATTAGTGTGTTAGCATTAGCATGTAGTTCAGAAGAAACAGCTAGCACAGGTAGACATAAGTGCAGGTTTTAAATGGCATCTGTTATCAAACATGGTTCTCTGGCATTCAAAAACGGATGTATTGGAGAGCAACTTGGGTTTAGTATCTGGCATACAGGCTGGACAGCCAGGGATTGAACTGCCAGTCTTCTGATTAGTAGATGGCCTGCTGTACCTCCTGAGCTACAGCCATCCCGTTTTACATTACCGTGGTTAGTAGCTAAGTGGTCAGAATGACTATACAAACTATGCAGATCATAACAAGTGGTCAGGATGAATATTCAGATTATACATCAGGTCAGCCTAAATTGTTCAAATGAATTCTTTGCCATTGCAAATGTACATATATGTGATGGTGTCTGTGTAGCCCTTACCTGCACGTAGTCCACACTGTCCCCCAGCGCTTTGAAGGCAGTGTACATCACCTCCCTTTTACCTCCCCACTCCTGCATAATGCAAGAATAGCGGCAACCTCTGACCATCCTTGACACCTGTGCCATCTCTTCCATGTGCACTGTGCTTTTCCCCCCACCTCCACTACCGTCCCTGTGATAGTTCCCCTTCCACACCATGCTGCCAGCCTGGTCCGCTCCTCCCATCACTTCATGGAAAATGTCCATCATGTAGCGATCCTCTGGTCTATTTCCATCCACAACCAGCACCACCTTCAAGCCTGGAAAAGAGATTCGGCAGATGCTGTGGAGACACTTCCTTAGGTAGTCTGGGTCCTCTTGGTAAGCTGCGATGCAGAGGGCCACGGAACGCCGGAGGTGTTGAGGTCGTGCAGGACTCCTCATCCGCCGATGCTCCAAAAATGCAAAGAGGCTCTGGAGAAAGAGGTGGAGGGAGAGGAAGGCACCATATAGGCCAAAGGACAGGTGGTGCTGCTCAGTGTGGATAAACTGGTAGCCTTCACAATGAAGAAGGGGAAAAAAAATCAGTAAATATGATCATACATTTTAATTATCATATACTTTTTGTGTTTGTGATTGAAATGAACCTGTAACATAGGCCAACAGAATGGTGAAGAGGACCACCGCAGCAAAAAGGGTGGTGACCACAATGTTCAGCGCATTCCTGTAGCAAGAGGGCATCTGAAGATGGAGCAGGAAGTGAGGCAGAGGGGTCCACAACAGATGTCAACATGAGAACAAGGGAGTGAGTGGAGATGGGTTTAGGAAAAGAGGGAACAATTTGTGGAGGGAAGAAGAGGTCAAGAAGAGAGAAAAAAACTCACGTGTGTAATCTTAATTTGCTGTCATATGGAAGTAATGAAACAAGACATGCTTTGAAAAAGCACAAACTTTATTCTGAGAGTCACTTAGACTCAACATGAATTTATACAATTGCCATTTTCTTTGTGTGTTTTTCAAAATAGTTGAGCACCTTGAGGCAACTGGTGTTGTGATTTGGCGCCATATAAATAAAATGCAACTGAACTGAGCTACAAACATCCCAGAAACAGCAAAAGCTACTAAAACAACTAAATCCCCCATTCTGCCATTAGAACCTCTGGTGCTCCTTTCTTCCACATCTCCAGGTTAGGGCTAGGGTTAACTTACTGCACAGGAGAGACTGGTTTATTCTTTACATTACATTCAGCTCTGTTGGACAAGCAGATTTATACACTTTTTTGAATGGATTCACAGATTTACATCATGGCATCATGCATTCTGCCCGCAGACTACATCAGGAGAATCTGTTTTATCGGCGCTCCTGACCGAAAGGAAAATTTTGCAAATACAGGTGTTGGATCACATGACATCACAAAACATTTATATTCTTAATCACTGTTTTCATGAGTCATTTAGTCATTTACATAACAATTTAGTGTTTCTAGTAGCTCTAATTTGTCTGAAATATCTCCTCTCTCCTTTTCACTTTGGCATTTCTTTCCCCTTGTGCTCAGTGTGCTTACAGCAGTCTGAATCGTGAAATAAATCAACATATGAAAAATATACAAAAAAGACTAAACAGATTCAAACTACAAATTAAATCAATTGAAGTCAATTAGATAGAAATGATATAAACCACTGCAGCACAGTACCTTTAATACCTATGACATGCTCTAATTGCTGTAATAAAATATCGTCAACAGTGTCGAACGCTACACTGAAGTCTAATAGGACAAGCACAGAGATGAGTCCACTGTCAGAGGGCTTAAGAAGATCATTTGTAACCTTCACTAAAGCTGTTTCTGTGCTGTGATGAGCTCTGAAACCTGACTGAAACTCTTCAAATAAATGATTCCTCTGCAGATGATAAGCTGGAAGTTTTAAAACTACTCTTTCAATAATTAAATGAAGGTTGGAGATTAGCTAAGACGGCTGGGTCAGGTGATGGCTTTTATATTGAATCCTTAAACTTAATTACAGCACTTTTAGAAAGACATTTACTCAGATAAAATATTTCCCCATTGCTGTATAATCCATTATTGTAAATGTAAAGTTATTAGTAAATGGTCAGATGAAAGATGGTTTTTGGGGAATACTGTTAAATGTTCAGTTTCTATGTCATATGTCAGAACAAGATCTAAGTGGGATTAAAGTGGTGTGTGGACGCTTTCACATTTTGTGAGGAGCCAACTGAGTCGAGTCTAGTTTAATCTATCATTTTCAGTATTTACACAAATGTTGAAATCACCTGCAACAATTATTTTATCTGAACTAAGCACTAAATGTGATAAAAAGCCCAAGAAACCAGATAGAAACTCTTAATAAGGATCAGGCAGATGATATATAACAACAAATAAAACAGCTTTTTGAGTTTTCCAATTAGAGTGGACAAGGTTAAGAGTCAGGCTATCAAATGAGTTAAAACTCTGTGTCTATGGTTAATAAGCTGGAATGGGAGATTGTTGTTATTCTGCACCCTCAGACTGTGCTTCGAGGATTCTGACAGTTAGTTTATCACGAGGACGTTGATTTATTTCAACATATTCAACCTGCTGTAACCAGGTTTCTGTAAGGCAGAGTAAATCAATATGTTAGCCAATTATTAAATGGTTTACTAACAGGGACTCAGGGGAGAGAGACTAATTGTTTAATAATCCACATTTAACAGTTTTACTCTTTGATGTAGTTGTGGATATTATATTGTTCTTTCTGTTTATTTTTTAATATTTAAATACTACTGTTACTGCCCATCACCCCTCCCAGGATCTGGGCTGCCAAAGGTAGCTCTCCAGAGATTTCTGTCCTGCTTTTCTGTTCGGAGGGGGAGGTGTCAGGCATGATGGAAAGAGAGAAACTGCAGAGAGCCATGTAAGACCGCAGCTCTGCTTCCTCGTCCCAACTCTGGATAGTCACGTTTTAGAGGGGGTTAATAAATTTGTCCAGATTTCTAGAAATGACAGCTGCTCCATCCAAAGTGGGATGGATGCCGTCTCTTCTAATAAGACCAGATTTTCCCCAGAAAGTTTCCTAATTATCTATAAAGCTCATTTCATTTTTTGGACACTGCTCAGACAACCAGGAATTTAAGGAGAACATGCGGCTAAACATGTCACTCTTGGTTTGGTTTAACCACAAAGATGTCTGAAAGACTTCTCAAAGCTAGCTACTTAGAAGCTGAATCCAAAAAGCAATACACCATCGCAGACACATTAATATGACCTGCCTGCAAAGTCATTGCAAATGAGATGCTCAGCCCTGACCCAGTTAAAGAAACAGCCAAAGTTCTTCTGTCAGATATGAGAGAGCTAACCATTAAATCGATTTATCACTGACGTATTAGTAATCAGTGTTGGGTGTTAAAAAGTAATATCACATATTGCATTAGTTCTTAATTCTAGTAATTTGTTGTTTGATGTAGTTACTTTTCAAATAAAGAAAAACAACAAAAGAAATATCTTACGTGCATTTGCAATTTCTTTGTCTTCCTATGACTCCTTGCGTGAAGCTTGGCAGCATGACATCCTCAATACCACATCACAGCCACAACAATTTATCATAGCAACACCAACAAAGCTATATAGAGAAATCCCCAGAATGTCAGTCACACACACTCTCTCTCACACTCACACACACCTTTTGACTAGTTGTTTCTGTACACATTAGCACATCCTTTTTTCTTTTTTTTACAAAAACCAAATATGCAAGAATGATGATGGCTGAATGATTCAAATGCTAAATGCAATGCTTAAAAAATGCAAATGCTAAAATGACAGAAAATCTATTCAAGTTCTGGTGATGCAGATGCACAACAAAATGTGTTTCAACTGTAAAAACTGCCAATAGACTACAATTGCAATATTACAAGTATTTTACAACCTACTGACTCAACCAATGTCTACAATAAAAGCAGGTGGTATCCACAGCACTGGTCTTTAACGCTTTCACACATAGTGGTCACTACAGTGGACAGCTATTCAAAGGCTGTTTTCTTGTATTTGTGTCAGTGTTGATGGTATACTTGCACATAAACCACTACACTGGACACTGATGTGTCACTCAATACCAAATTCATAAGTCAAAACATATGTTGTCCACCTAAGTGGACATGTAAAAAACTCTTTGAAAAGTACATGTTTAAAAAAAATGAAGTTCAAAAATCTTTTTTTCATACCTAAAGATGAATAAAAATACTTAAGAAAGAAATCCTGATTGAGGTTGTCATAATTCATGCATGAACTGGTTAAAGAAGAGTAACAGGCGGCAGGAAGGAAGTATGCTGAGCTTTTGGGAACAGAACCACTGGTAGCTCTAGCAACTAATGGCAGCGAAATCTCATATGATGAGTGGATAGAGACAGAGTTTTATTTGGACTGTTACCTTCAAAACAGGGTTCTAGTTGAAATTCGGGGATCTAGTGATCCCAATGTTGCAGATTTGAGTGGGTAAATGGAGCAAGCGGCTAAAAAGATCAGGCAACATTTGAAAAATCATCCGAATCTTCTCACTGTCAGTAAATACTGCTAAATCAGTGCTAAAACTATTGTGACACCTGACCCAAGCTAAAGTCTGGGCAGAGTCCTGGCAGAGAAGACATGACATCAGGATCAGTGGGACCACTTTCCTTAAAGCCACATATACAGATAGATAAAGTTATTATCCACCTTTGCCCCCAGCCATAAGCCACCTCAGTGGGACCTTCCAGATAAATTAGACCATCTCAGTAAAGACGAGCATGTCAGCATTTGTTTATGATGATTATCATGTTGGATGCAGCCACACTTTAGACATGTACATCACTGAAGACCTACATATTAGCCTCAAAACCTCTGAAGTGAAAGACTATCTTCAAGATCTGCTGAACCATGAGTGGATTTCAGAGTCCCGGTCACCCTACTCATCCCCAGTTGCCTGTATTAGAAAAAAGTCAGGTGAACTGAGATTGTGCTGAGATTTCAGGGGACTCAACAGAACGTCAGTACAGAGGCACAGAATTAAAAAATTTCCAGAATTCAACATAGGCTAGATTCCCTTCACGGCAGCTTCTGGTTTTCTGCTCTTGATCAGGGAAAAGCATATCAACAGGGGTTCCTGGACCCTAAAGGTTGCCCCCTCACAGCCTTCATCACACCTTGGGGCAGCAGAACTGCATATTTAGGCCTTAGTTGAGCCTCAGCAGAGTTTCAATGAAGCATGGAGGACTAATTAAGAGGGCTTCAGGATGTAATCTGTCAGCTGTATTTGGAAGACAACCTAGTCCACTCTCCTTCATTTGATACTCATGTGGAACACATCAGAGACACCAAAAACATGGTGGCAAACTCAGATCACAGAAGTGTGATGTCTTCAAGAAGAAACTGGATTTCCTCAGTCAGATGGTGCTAGAAAAAGGATAGCTGAGGACCCAGCTGAAATAGCTCCTGTCCAAGCTCTCAGAGAATGCAAAGAGATGTGGACCATTTTGTAATGCATGCTGACCCTCACCCTGCCCCACCCTGAGCCTGGTTCTGTTGGAGGTTTCTTCCTGTTAAAAGGGAGTTTTTCCTTTTAACTGTCACCAAAGCACTGGTTCAAAGGGGGTTATATGATCTGTTTTCTTTGTATTATTGTCGAGTCTTTACCTCACAATATAAAGAACCTTGTGGCAACTGTTATTGTGTTTTGGTGCTATATAAATTAAATTTAATTCAATTGAAATTAATTGAATTTATCTAAAGAAGCAGATTGGAAAGACTCGCTGTCAAACATAGTGCCTGCCTACAACTACACTTGGAAGGAGGCTACTGGGCTTTCCACATACTATTTGCTGTTTGGCCACACTCCTCGGCTTTCTGTAGATGTCTTGTTCAACTTGCCTTCACAGGACCAGCAAGCAAGCTATGAGAAGTATGTGACAAAATGGCACTCTCAAATGAAGGAGGCTTATGAGATTGCACCTATTACAGCTCAAAAAGAAGCTTGGCAATCTCAAAGAGAGAAGTCCAGAGAAGCTTTGGTCATACTGGGGGGATGCAGTGTATGTGGTAGTGAGTCAAAAAGCCCTAACATCCCAGTTTATGAGTTCAAACCACAAAAGGAGGAAAGAGTGACACAATACACAGGAACCTGTTCCATCAATGTACCAGCCTGCCCGTGGAAAAACCATACAGATGGGAACAAAACAAATAAAGAGAAGCCTGAGACAAAAGGAAGGAGAAGCTCAACAACGTATTAAGTTTTAATATTTGTTTAAGTATTAAGATGGGAGCTATTTGCCCCCAGGGGCTGTGAGGTCTTGATGGCCTGTAGATATACATAGAAGGTGTGAGAGACAGTTATAAGAAACTGATGCAGACTGAAGACACTAAGATGAACAGAAGTGCATTAATATGTAAACAAAGATAAGTGTGGTAGAGTGTTGGATGAATATTGAGTCTGGTTACAGGAGAAAAGTCATAGTAATGTGATAAACTTGTTTATCGATCTAGACAGGAAAAATAATGTATACCTGGCAAAGACAACTGATGATTAATTGGTACTGTGGGTTTTATTTGGTGAACGTAACACAGTGTGGAAAATGTTTTATTGAACAGTTAAATGCAGTGTTTACAACCATAATTGTTACTCGGGGACAGGCACTAGTAGTGGAAAGAAATGTAATGAAAAAGAAAACATGTTAACAGAGTTTTATTATTAATTAGTTCAGGGTGTGGCACCCCATGTTTTAAGCATTAATAACAAGTTTCAACATTTTTCTTGATGTTGTTTTAACCCTCGCATGGTCATAGTCAAAAAAGGGACCCTTTTGGGTCCCTTTTTTGACTATGACCATGCGAGGGTTAATATGTTTGTTGTGAAAATAGTTCATCATAGTACAGAGTGGAAAAATTAATTTGCCCTCATCTGGCATTAAGGCAATACTGGGTTGCGTCAGTCAATGGGACTTGTGCCTCAGACAAATGAGTGACTGTCAAAGTAATCGCTTACTAAAGTAATCCAAGCCAGTCATGGTTATGGTAGCTGACAGTAACACAGAACTGCTATTGTGTTGTACTTATGGGAAGTTGTGCTCATTGTAAAAAATAATCATGTGATCATTAAATGCCTCAGAGACTTCATCAATAACCAACGCCTCGTGGTGGTGCTGTGTGGCAGACAGGATGAGGACCAAAACACAGGACTCAAAAAAAAAGAGTGAACTAAAGGAGGCAGCTTTGTTGCTGAAATAACGATATTTAAACATAGAAGCTCTGATAACCAAAAACTCAAAAACAAGGAACCAGAAGTAAACAACTAGGGGGAACAACGAGGAATAAACTGGGGTACCAAGGATCACACAGGAAAACACACAGCACATGGGACGACACGACAATAAGCAAAGGAACACAGAGGACTTAAATACACAGAGGATAACAGGAGGGAACACAGCCGGACGTAAACAGACACAATGTGACAGGGAGGAAGCAAAGCTGAATACACTGAACAAGGCACTATCAAAATAAAGCAGGAAACACACACAACTCAGATTCAAGACACCCAAGCTTAACACAGTGACTAGGGAGACACGAGTAAACACAGGAGAAGATAAACACTGAGTGAGGGAGAACTAAGAACATTATGAACCTAAGAATCACAATAATTATTAAAAAACAAACAGCATCATGACTACAAAACCCTGGGTGTGAATTTGTTGTGCCTAAAATACTCTGAAATGTTTGTCTTAGACATCTGTCTCAAGTCAATTAAAGCTTGCTAATGTGCTACTGTTACAGCTACCATCATATAACATAGCACACCAAATAAGGTTGTAGCAAAGAACGATTTATTTCCTATTTGTAATAGGAAGAACATTTTCATTCTTGCATGAACGTTCCACAGTCTTGGGCATTTTAGATTTACTTAAGTTCTTACTGTATGCACTGAGACACTCTAATAATGGCAGGCATTGTGCAAAAAGGACCGACACATTAGGGAGGTCCAACACAGCAGTGATGCTGTGGAAAATCAAACAGTACAAGGTTTTTCATTGGAGACACCAGAAGCTTCAAATGGGTACTCTTTGGCTATTTTTTCAGATAGTTGCTGTCTTCTTCCACACAGGGAAAATGTTGCATATGCTAGGAGCTAACACAAGGACACAATAACAATGTTATGTTCAGACTGATTCACATTGATTTTTTTAGTTTTCAGTGTAATTTTAAAGCAGAGTAAGCTAAGCAATTCAAGCTAAGTGCCGGGCAGAAATCTCTACCATACACTGTAAACATTCAACACACATGCCTGAACACTATCCTACAATGTAACTATTGATTAATACGGTTTTTCTAACTTTTCATTCAGTTTTTGTCTCTATTCAACCTTCATTTAGTTAATCTTTAGAACTGCATACCAAATCTGAAGAGGTATCCAAAACTGAAGCCTAAGCATAGTCTATTTAATGAGCTTTTGTAAGATAAACCCACATTTTAGTGTAGTTATGTTACAGAAATAAGAAATGACTGATTTTGCTATCCTGAGGCCAAGTGAAAAACATTTTAAAGACCTTACCTTCCTGAACCAGTGCCCCCTCTGTATTTTCCAGTTTTCAGTCCGTCAAGCCAGGACATCCAGCCCTCTCCTCTCCTTTGCACACAACTTTCCTTGTTCTCTCCCCCTCCTTCCTCCAGCTCACACTACATCTTTATTCCAGCTTGCTTGCTTAATTCACATCCAAAAATACACCAGGCTGCTTTGACCACCACACTCCAACCAGCGTGCCTGTAAGCCACCCTCCTCCTTCTCCTTCGATCTTCCAGGAGTTTCCCAGGGGATGAGGTCCCCAAGCTGAGATGTGATCAGAGGTGCTCAGCCAGCAGCTGACGTTGGTGCAGTCTCTGTCGGTGTTAAGCAGCAGTTATTCTGCCGTCTGTGTGTGTTGCTCTCCATCCTATGGACATGGTCAGAGCAAAGTGAAGATGCCTGAGATTCAAAGCAAAAGGTTCCGTCTCTGCCTTAGTTTTGACATCTTCTTTGTCGGGGGATTTCTCTAGCTTCTCTTCTCTCTTCTGCAGTCTCTGCTCATTTTGCACCTACTGTTTTCAGCAGAGCTGAAAGCGTCCTCCTTTATCACTCTGTCCAAGCTGGTCGACTGAGAGCCCAACACTGCTGAGCGGCTCCTTCACCACCTGCTCCCCTCCCCTCCCTGGGCATCCTAACCAGCACCCGATCTCTCTGCAATGCAGCCAGCGGTCTTTAACAAGTCTGGGTGCTCCTTTCACTTCTCTACCTTACTCAAAGCAGCCCTTATGGGCTTATTCATCTTCCCTCCCTCTCTTTTCCTCTCCTCTTTGAGGCTGAGTTGCTGACACGCTTATACCTGGACAAACTGCAGCATGCACTGGAGAGTCGATAGATGGCTGGCAAAGCACAGCGATCTAAACACAGCCATGTAAACACATTTCACTATCCATGCCAGGTAACATAATATACTAAACTTGTACACTTTATCTTTCTCTATCACACATAGTGAGATGTAGTAGTTATTGTAATAGAAGTCGCATGACTTTAGCCAGGGGCGCCGTAAGGGGAGAAAAGTGATGACGAGGGGCCCTAGAAAACAGTAAAATAGTCAATTAGTCTTTTTAAAAAAAAGAAAATTATTAACCTATCACCATAAAATAATGTCTGGTTCACAAGGATACTTGTGAACTTGATTATTTTATAGCATTAGTTTTGTTTTGCTATTGGCAACAAAAAATAAAATCTAATCAGCCTCTGACCCCGCCTCCCCCTCCTTCTTACATGATTTGGTTTGGTCCAGGTGCACGCGCTCCGGACTGACGCTGAGCGGTAAGACTGGAGGATAGCTCTGTGCAAAGTTACAAGTTAGATTCAAAAAACAAAAGAGAGACAGAAGGAGATTAACCCTTGTGTTGTTCACGGGTCATTTTTGTCCTCTAAAGAAATCTTTTGCTATCAAAAATGTGTTTTTTATTCAAATGGTCTGAAAATAACAGAAGTTATTCATTACTATACTATGCATGATTGGAATAAGTTTTAAGTAATTTGATTTATTTATGGGGTTTTTATTGGATTTTATAACACTTGTGGTCCTCATGGACAAAAATGATCCCAAAGTACAAAGTGTTGCAAAGAGCCGTATTTTCACACCATACTGCTTTCAAACATCTTTGATCTTGGATCACTGATGTGTGGGGTCAAGCACTGGTCATAACAACCACAACAACAACAGGCAGCACAACGAGGAGGCAGGTGCTCTATATTCAATGAAATTTTATTTATACAGCGCCAAATCACAACAACAGCCGCATCAAAGTGCTTCATATTGTAAGGCCGACCCTACAATAATACATACACAGTGTTAGGATGCCTGGGTCGTCGACCCAGGGTTTTTGAGTTT